ACACATTTTCTGACCCAGACCTGACGTCCGTGAGCTGCTGCCGCTCGAGGCGACTCGGCCCCGGCGTCGGCCGTCCACCGGCTCCGTCCGTGACTTGCCGGAGCGACCCCAGTGCCGACATTGTGTGCACTCGGGGCCCGCCGGCTGAGGGCGAGACACCAAGTTAAGCGCGACGCCGCGTCCACCGCCGCGAGCCGTGATTGTGTCAACAACGCCGCTTTGCTAGCGCAATATGAGGCTGTCGCGTTACATAAGTACGGCATCCGGTTCGCTGCAGCGCCGCGGCTTCCCGCGTGTGGGTGCGGGCGCGCGGCTAATGCAACCGGGGCGGCTTCGTGTGAACTTTGTGCCGTGTGGCTTGCAGGTCTCCAGGGATGGTCCTCCTCGCCGGCCGTGTGATGATCGAGGCCGCTGTATTGGTCACGTTAGAGAGCACCGCTGTTTGCCGCCCCCTGATATGTCCCACCCACGGGCCGTGTGATGATCGAGGCCGCTGTATTGGTTACGTTAGTGAGCACCGCTGTCTGCCGCCTCCTGATATGTCCGACCCACGGCCGCGTGCCCTCCGGGCACTATAGGCTCGCGTTACAGGACCGCACGCCTTTTAAACTGCGCCATCACGAAGGCGCGAGGCAAACTCGATACCGCCAAGTTATCTCCCCTTTTACTTGCGAAGCTGGCGAGGTCTCTTAGGACATTTTCAGCGACCGCTGTTCAGAACCGGGGGCAGTTCTGTCTTTGATTGAATAGGCATTGCGCCTCGCGAAAGAGATGGCTCCGCGTTGAAACCTAGCGCGCTGTAGCAGTGTAGATGTCCAGTTATCGTTAGCGTCATGGTCGCGTCAGAGCCCTAGATAAAGGCAGTCGCTGGTGAACTTCCGGCGTTTTGGTGGTGAGGGCGGGTTTCTGGCTGGTGAGCGGGGGGGGGGGGGGAGTTCTGGCCGGTGAATTGGTGGGTTTCTGGCTGGTGAGCTGGCGGCGTTTCTGGCTGGTGAGCTGGCGGCGTTTCTGAGGTGAGCTGGCGGCGTTTCTGGCTGGTGAGCTGGCGGCGTTTCTGGCTGGTGAGCTGGCGGCGTTTCTGGCTGGTGAGCTGGCGGCGTCTCTGACTGGTGAGCTGGCGGGGTTTCTGGCCGGTGAACCGGCGGCGTTTCTGGCTGGTGAGCTGGCGGGTTTCTGGCTGGTGAGCTGGCGGGTTCTGGATGGTGAGGGCGGCGTCTCTGACTGGTGAGCTGGCGGGGTTTTGGCGGTGAGGCGGCGTTTCTGGCTGGTGAGCTGGCGGGTTTCTGGTGCGTGAGCTGGCGGGTTCTGACTGGTGAGCTGGCGGGTTTCTGACTGGTGAGCTGGCGGCGTTTCTGGCTGGTGAGCTGGCGAGTTTCTGACTGGTGGTGCCAATGCCCGTGAGGTCGGCCAACAGCAGCCTGCACCCCAACCAGAAGCTGCAGGGAAATGTGTTAAAGTTGTGTGAGGTTTGAACAGGGATGGCTGAGTGGTAGAGTATACAGAGACTAAGCGATGCGGTTTTGCTCTGAGCGACCAGGCTGTAGGACATAAATATATCTGCATAATCTTGCACTACCGACGCGTTATTTCCTGATATTGGAGGCGGTTAGCCTGGGGTTGTTTCTTCTACAGTTAATGTGTTTTGTGTTTTGCCTGACACATGCCATCGGTGACAGTAACGTGACACAGTGGTAGGCGGTGTCCGTTAAATGGCCGATGGGCGGCGCATGTGTTGAGGTCTGTTCGTACTGCCATTACTCAGAATATCCGAGCCGTGAATTCGAGTGGCCGGTTGGTTGGTAAGCCATGTTGCGACGAGCGGCGTAATTTGCAAGGTGACGAAGTGGGCTTGCTGTTATTTTCAGAATTTTGAAATTTTCAGCAAATCTAAACAAGGGGAAATTATAGGATCACTGGGGCGAACTTTACTTTTTCATGTTCTGTCATTCTCGGATTGCTCTCAAAAGCTCTGCTGTTCTGTTTTGCTCGGTTTTGCTCCTTTCAGTTAAGCTGTGGTATGTTTAGGAGGGTAGTTTGCTAGACGAGGGATCCAGGTATGTGGTATTGTTATAACAGCAACGATATATCCCAAGCCTGTCTCGAATTACCGAGCGTTATCCAAGCCGCACTTTCTATTGGTGCTTAACAAATTGTCAAGCGTCCGGCATAGCTCAATGTACGAGCTATTGTCGATCGTGCACGTGATGATGGCTCATAAAATCGTATGGTGTGAAGTCTTAACCCTTACAGAGTTGCAAATACACCAGCTTCGACGCGACTCTAGTGTCTTCGATGTCTGGCTGTCGGGCTTCTTTTTGGCTGGCATTAGTATCTCACGGATAGGCGAGCTCGATATGTGTTCTCATGCCTTCCGAACGTGGGAACACTCACACACCTATCAGATGCGTGCTGCTGTGCCGCCACGCGCCAGCCTGTGGGTCGGGCACCGCGCCTCTCGTCGTTATCGACGTTCCTATAACTGCTGACTGCGGACTGCCGCGGGGCGTGCCTCGCGTGCGCTCTTTTCATGCGGTGGCTGTCGGCGCGCCGCCGCCCCGTGACTGAAATACGCCTCGTCTGAGACCCGTCGTCCGGTCTCGCCCTTGAGCGCGGCCTTGACCGCACCGAGCCCGGAGCGCGGACGATCGCCGCACCCCCGCCGGGAGCCGGCGCCGCTGGCAGCCGCGGCGCACCCGGTCGGAAAACAGGCCATCTGGGCGGCGGCGGGGCGCGCGAGGCGCTGACGCCGCGCCTCGATCGTCTCTGTTTTCGGGCTGCGCCTTTGAAAGGGGCCGGCTTATTGCGTTCGCTCGCCGCGCCCGCTCGACGGCCGCCTCCATTGCGCCTGCGATTGCTTTCAATTTGCGGCGGCATTGTGGCGCGCGGTTTTTTGCCCGGCCGGCGCGCGCCAGGTCGTCCCCCGGGGGCACGGCGGCTCCCAGATGACGCGCGCGTCCAACTTGTGTCGGCCACTTACTCGCGTCTCGTCGGCGTCACAATGACGTCTGAAGTTGAGGTGCGAGTGGGTCGTTGGACAGTCGATTGTGCGGCGGGCGGCGCGAGCTGCACCGGCGTCGGCGGCGCCCTCGGGGGAGGCCGACGCTGTCGCGCCGCGGCGAGCCACTGATGGCCGGCTGACGCGCCGGCCGTCCTCGGGGAGCGCCGGCGAGGGCGAGAGAGCGCAGCTGCCGGCAATGAAGCCGTGTCATCCGCCCGCTGGAGAGCGCTGCCGAGTTTTGCATGTATAGCTTTCGGATCGGAGCTCTCGCGAAACAGGGAGTATAGCGTGTACAAAGACGCTGACTCCGACGTTCCATTGGCGCAAGGCCAGCTAAGAGGGAATTTTTTAAAGGACAAGTCCAGATACTTCAGGGCTAATTGCATAGCTTCACTTGCCATGTAACATCGTGGCACGGCCTCCCCGTGCCAGCCTGGCGCTCCTGGCATTTTGCCAGTTGCCCATTAAGGGCGGGTGCATAACCCACACTTGGTCGCGATTGCAAGCCCACGTGCCTGCTGCTCAATGACCAGATGTTGGGCGCTTTACCAACGTTAGCGTTGGTTCGGCGGCATCCGTCAAGCCCGCCTGACGCGCCATGCGCCGGCTCTCGGCCGGGTGGATGACACCCTCGGAGCGACCGCCGGCATCGCCCCCGACCGACGGGCCGCCGTGTCCGGCCCTCCCGGAGGCGTTCGCTCGGATGGCCGCCGGTTTGTCTTCATCGCGCCGCGAGCGACGCCGTTTTTCAGCGTCGCCACCGGCGGCGTCGCCGCTGTCGGTCGCGTCGGCAACGCATCAGCGGCGGCCCCGCGGGAGCGGCGCCTCCGGCGGCGCCGAGTGGCCGCAGCCGCTGCCTCCGAGAGGCGTTGACGCTGCCGCAGTCTCCGGGGAGGTGGGCACTATCGCCGGCCGGAGGGGCGTCAGCCGTCGACGCGAAGGCGGCGTGGAGAGCGATGTTGCGCGGCGGCCGCAGCCGTGAGCTCGGTCAGTGAGCGGCGTCGAGTCGCGTCACGCTTGGTGACGTCACACGAGCGAGGGTGAGACACCGGCCGGCGGGGGAGCTGGATCCGTCCGTGAGCAGGGGCTCGGGTCTGCGGTCGCTGCGATCGCACGGCGGACCGATCTCCAGGCGCGTTGGCCGGCCGCCAGCGCCGCTCCCCAGCTTCCTCCCGCAGCCGTAATCGTGATTCAGATGGTGTTAATCAGCGGAGAAAAGCCGGCCGGTGGCGCCGGCGGGCGACTTGAACCGAGGCGCGCCGCCGGCTGCGGCCGGACTCGGAGCCGGACTCCGGGCCGGACTCGCGCCGTCTGCCGTCTGCGCTTGGCGGGCGGAGCCGGACCCGAGTCTCTCTGCTGTCCAGCTGCGGGGCGGAGGTGCAGCCCGGGTCCGCGCGTCGGCTTGTCGAGCAAATACGCTTGCCCGGAGTCCCTGCTGGTGGTGCGTACGTCTGGCTTTAGATCGCGTCGGAGCCGCGGGGAGGCGGCCAGGAGGTGCTTAATCTTGTGGTTAGTTTGGGTCCTTTGCCCTCCTGCTCCCCTGTTTACGTTTGGTTGGTTTGGTATGCGTGTTGCACCTTCTGTGGTGGACTGAACAGTCACGGCCACTACACACCTTTTTTCTTATGCCTGCATTGCAAATGGATTGAAAATGACCACGGTGAATATTAATCCTGCAACATTTCCCAAGTTCAACGTAATTCACCTAACGCATCCAGATGTGTTTGAAATACCCATGGCTGCACTCGTAGATGTACCAACATTTGTGCAATCGTTCTGGAGCAATGAATGCAATTCAAGCTCACCTTCTCAGGTGGCTGGATGGTCATGTGCGGCCAACCAGCACACGTGCACATTGTCTGGCGTGGCATAAAACCGCTCAAGCGGTCCGGTGACGGTACTGATAATGCGGTGTGTCCTCGCCCTCCCCTCTCCCTCCGCCCGCTACGGTAGTGCGTAACGGCAGAGCCGTCCGGTAGCCCCGCCTCTGGTGCTGTTGCAGAGCGTGACCGCCCCGGAGCCCGACCCGAGCCTCAGCGTCGAAGATTACGAGCGCACCTTCGAACAGAACGAGGAGCTGGGCATCAACGACATGAAGCTGGACAACTACACGTGATGGGGCCGACGGCCGCGCCGGACCTGGCTGGTCGGGCTCGCCGTCGACTCCGAGCCGCCGTGGCGAGGGGTGCAGCCCGCTCGTGCGCGCGCCTCGGGCACCGCAGGCGCGTGGGAAACCGGAGCGGTGGAATGTGGACGGCTGCATGGATGTGGTCGTGGATTTGTGAGGGTTGGTGGGACGGACCCTTCCAGCTCTGTCTGGATGGCAGCGACACACGTTGGGTAAAAGACGTCATGCGCTCTGGCCCTGATCTTGTCGGGTTTGATGTGTTTGTGCTGTTGATGATGGTTGTTATGCTCATAGGGTTTTGTAGCGACGGACAACCTGTTTAAGGTATGGTGACATTGCTATTTGACGCATTTTGTTCCACTCTGCTTTTGAAAGACGCTCCATGTAGTGCAAAATTTGAAAGCGGATGATGTGCTTTTTACATGCGATATGTTCAGTGTACATGAGACCATTTTTTAGGATAAGATGATAAAATATATGAATAAGATTGAGATGCGGAGGCATTCTGCTTTGTTGAAGATTCGGCTGCAGCTCTCTTCCCGTGTCAAAGCATTTTGCAGCATAGGCGTCCACTGTAGCCCGATTTCTAGTATATGAACGTAACGTGCATGAAAAGTAGCCGGCTTTTTGGCGGTCGTCGAGTATTTGCCTTGGCCTTTGCCTTTAGATGTGGGTGGGGGAGGGGAGTGAGGTGGGGATGGGTCAGAGGGAGCAGTTTTTCACTGCCCACCGGCAGGCGGAGCAAGAGTATGTTTCTACACCCCCATTTCTTTATGTGGGGGGGGGGGCTCTTTTCCCAAACTACATCCATTGTAGCTACCCGTAGATTACCAAAATTTAGATCAAGGGGGCCCATAGCAGAGGAAGAGAAGAAAATCGGGCTCAAAAGACATTTGTCTGTGCGGAGACGCCCGTTGTCTGGATGATGACGCCACCTTTAGGAATAGGGTAGCCCATACTCCGGATTAGTAGGCTCACTGTTCAGTGCTTCATTGTTTGTTGGGGCATACCTCAAAAACATACTCAAGTGAAACCACAGGACCAGTCACGTCTAATGATAGCACTAGGTAGTGTCACTGCAGCACCGTCAATACATAATAAGGACATTAATTACAATCATTTTCGAGGCCCAATTACGCTGTCAACGCTTTGAAACAGCACTACAGTTCTTCCCTGCAGTCGCGACCACCGTCGTTATGACAACCACCGCGTGCATCTCTACTGGTGCGTATAAAAGGGACGTTCGTAATTGACCCACCGGATGGCAACGGCCTGCTACCGAGAAGCGCGCTGGTTGATGCTATGAACCGGTGCGTCATCAGGGATCATGTGATACTCCCATTCCTGGAGACAAAGTGCGCGTTGGAAAGAGCTTCCGTGGTAAACGTCTACGGAAGAAATCGGAGCCATAATATAAAGTTGCATTGAACTGGCAGGATAATAGCTTCATGTTCGTGAATTGTTTCGTGGAAACAGTGTTGCAGGCTTCCATAGCATTTATTACGCAAACATTTTGACAGTGTGTTGCAAACATTACAGAACACGCGTTGGAAAAAGCAAGGCAAATGAATTGTATTACTTTCATAGTGGTGAGCAGGGAGCCAAATGAGGTCGCTCTCGCAGGAGCGACCTCATTTTTCTACTTCAAAACGAAATTCAGAGCGATCCAGAAGCACTCCAAGACAACTGGCATTACTGATCAAATTGTACGCGTCTGAAAAGTTAAAAAGGTGGGCTACTCCCTTTGAGGAGACCCCCTTGCCGGGTAGCGATGCTGGGTTACAAACTAGGGAGCACCTGTTCTGGGTAAGGAGGCTCCCTTTATTTTAAGAAGGCCTCATTTCAGGAATAGAAGACCTTTTTCATACATTAGTTGACCACGGTTCCGAAGCAGGATGCCCGGTTTTGGGAAAACGAGGCCCTTTGGCTGATTTTGGAGGCCCTATTCGTAAATCTAAAGCATGCTGTCCTGGATGAGAAGGCTCCTCTATGCATCAGAAGAAGTTTTTTTCTGGAACACTAGGTAACCGAACCCCTTTGCTGGATAATACCCACTGTTCCGTTGTTTCTTAGATTGTGGATATTCATTTACTTGGATATGATGTATGTAGCAATTTGATAAGGGGGCACGTGCCCTCGATACGCTCCCCCTTAAAAACGACACTGCCCAAGAGCCCCCCCCCCCCCTACAAGGACGTCCCATTTTAACCAGGAGGCTCCCTTGAAAATCCTGCCCCCTCAAACTCAAAATCCGTGATGCCGCCCCGGACCATACTCAAACGTGCAGGGCCCATCATGACCGGTTTTGCGAGTGTGATTAGTGACTTGGTCTGTGACTTGAATTTGTTTGCACATGCCCACATGATCCTATCATCTGTATCCTCAGTTACATGCATGACGTCGTGGAACCGCCATTTGAGTTCATGTCTCCGAATTAGTCTCCGTATAATCTTTAGAATGCTGGAAATTTGTGAAAACTGAGCTCAGCTGTTTTTCAAGCATATACGTTTGAAGAGCAACCAATGTGGAACAGCAGACAGGTTTGAATTCAGTGCTCGTTCATTATTTCAACGGAGGCATGTCGAAATATCGATGCATCACTATTTTCTCACTCTCTGCAACTACCGACGAGAAATGAGACCAGAAGGGCTCATATATATATATATATATATATATATATATATATATATATATATATATATATATATATATGCTTGTTCGCAGTTGGTTTCCGTAACCCGTCACAGGCTAACGGCGGGTAAGAGGTGCTGGTGTAACATGTCTGGTGTTGTGGGCACCTGCCGCAGTCGGACCTGTGGATCTGTCGCCTGGCCGCCCCCGCCCCGCCCCCTGCCCCTCGACCAGGCCGGGCCTCTGGGACGGCCCGCCTCATCGCCGGGGATGATACCTCTGCCCGGGGTGCGCTCGCTCGGGATTGGCGCGGCTCGGTCAGCGCCGAAGACGCTGTCGCTCCTTTGGCCGCCGCTCGTCCCGACGACGCTGGGCTCCGGCTGTGTCTCAGCTCCGGCGGTGCTGGGCTCCGGCTGTGTCTCAGCTCCGGCGGTGCTGGGCTCCGGCTGTGTCTCAGCTCCGGCGGTGCTGGGCTCCGGCTGTGTCTCAGCTCCGGCGGTGCTGGGATCCGGCTGTGTCTCAGCTCCAGCAGTGCTGGGCTCCGGCTGTGTCTCAGCTCCGGCTGTGCTGGGATCCGGCTGAATCTCAGCTCCGGCTGTGCTGGGATCCGGCTGTGTCTCAGCTCCGGCGGTGCTGGGCCTCCGGCTGTATCTCAGCTCCGCGGTGCTGGATCCGGCTGGCTCAGCTCCGGCTGTATCTCAGCTCCGGCTGTGCTGGGATCCGGCTGTATCTCAGCTCCGGCTGTGCTGGGCTCCGGCTGTATCTCAGCTCCGGCTGTGCTGGGATCCGGCTGTATCTCAGCTCCGGCTGTGCTGGGATCCGGCTGTGTCTCAGCTCCGGCTGTGCTGGGATCCGGCTGTGTCTCAGCTCCGGCGGTGCTGGGATCCGGCTGTGTCTCAGCTCCGGCGGTGCTGGGCTCCGGCTGTGTCTCAGCTCCGGCGGTGCTGGGATCCGGCTGTATCTCAGCTCCGGCGGTGCTGGGCTCCGGCTGTGTCTCAGCTCCAGCAGTGCTGGGCTCCGGCTGTGTCTCAGCTCCGGCAGTGCTGGGCTCCGGCTGTGTCTCGGCTCAGGTGGTGCTGGGCTCCGGCTGTATCTCAGCTCTGGCGGTGTTGAGCTCCAGCTGAGCTCCGGCTCCGTCGGTGCTGGGCTTCAACTGTATCTCGGCTTCGGCGGTGCTGGGTTCCGGCTGTATCTCGGCCCCGGTGGTGCTGGGCCCGGGCTGTATCTCGGCTCTGGCAGTGCTGGGCGCCAGTTGTGTCTTGGCTCCGGCTGTGCTGGTCTCCGGCTGTATCTCGGCTCTGGCGATGGTGGGCTCCAGCTGTACCTCAGCCCTGGCAGTGCTGGGCTCCAGCTATATCTCGGCTTCGGTAGTGCTAGGCTCCGGCTGTGTCTCAGCTCCGGCAGTGCTGGGCCCCGGCTGTGTCTCAGCTCCGGCAGTGCTGGGCTCCGGCTGTGTCTCAGCTCTGGCGGTGCTGGGCTCCGGCTGTGTCTCGGATCGGGCGGTGTTGGGCTCCGGCTGTGTCTCAGCTCAGGCGGTGCTGGGCTCCGGCTGTGTCTCGGCGCTGGCGATGCTGGGCTTCGGCTGTGTCTTGGCTCCGGTAGTGCTGGGCTTCGGCTGTGTCTCGGCGCTGGCGGTGCTGGGCTTCGGTTGTATCTCGGATCTAGCGATGGTGGGCTCCTAGTACCTCAGTACCTCAGCTCTGGCAGTGCTGGGCTCCAGCTATATCTCGGCTCCGGTAGTGCTGGTCTCCGGCTATATCTCGGCCTCCACGCTGCTCTGTCTCTCTTCCTGCACCACGCGGCTTGCCTGCCTGCTTTTCGTCTTCGATTTCTCTGCGTGTGCATTTGATGAACGTTTCTAGGCCCGCTCGCGCTGTGGCTGGCTCGCGCTCGCTCGTACGCTTGCATTATGCATGCATGCACTTAGGTGTGCCATGTCAGGGATGGATACATTTTATTCATTCAAGAGGCAACTTATTCAGGCTGCAACGATAGGTGGCACCTATAGGTTGACTGCATCTCTCATCAACTGTCAGTAGCACGCAGTAGGCATAACTACATGTAATTATACAGTTGTGTCTTTTTTAGTTTCTGGCATCTTTGTGTAGCAAGATATATACATATATAGGCATATATATATATATATATATATATATATATATATATATATATACATATTGGTGTACTCAGGCAGTATGCTTTAATTATAATTACTGTAAGTTTTGTTACACGCAATGGCAAACGCACACTTGAGCACTTTCTGGTGAGTACGTTCGACTGCTCGAATTAAATCCTTCGTTGTTTTTGGTGTCATACATCAACTCGCCTTTAGTCATGCATATTAGTTCAAGCTAGCTAACATTTCAAGGGCATTCATTGCCCATTCTCAAAGCAATGTAAGACGGTCGGACGGGATACATTTGAATATGGTAAAATACGAGGCATGCCTTACGAGACATAATCATTGATGAACCATCAGTTAGCAGACTATACGTCCAAATGTCGAGTCAAATTACGAAACACCAACAGACACACATCACTTTTCCAGCCAGTTTAACACCATGGAAAGGCAAATACATCGAATCACCCTGCTGCCATTGGGTGACTGAACAAATCCAAAGTAATGCATAACTTAAGTTGTTGCTTAAGTCAGGCATTCTTTCTCTGATGAGAATGGCTTCAGCAATTTGTAGACGTCGTTTGTTTAGACATGATTCTAGAATCAGTGTGTTTTCGGTGAGGTCAGAGCGTAGGAATGTTTGGTTGTGGGTCTTGCGCATATGCTGGTCTGACGCTCCCTCCGGCAGGTGCATAGTCATGCGTCGTGATGGGGATTTTGTGGTCATTCCAATATAGGTAG